CTTTCGCTATCCCGATTCTCAACAAGTTTGYGAAGAAAGAAAAAAARGTGTATCTTCTGCTGRAAACCGGGCAAATACATCGATTATTGTTTCACCTCCCACGCATTCGCTGCCCCTGACGCCACGGAATCCATTACTCCAATCCGGAATCCGCCTCCACCCACGAACTCGCCCCATCTCAAAGCTCCGGTTTACTCCTCAATCCTACCCGATTTCGCCGTGAGCCGAGTGGAAACTTCTCTTACCTGTCCCGCCATATCTATAACTCTGCGCGGCCCCTTACTAACAGAACTCTAGAACTAATCACTAACCTCTGATTCTAACACTACCACCCAACCCGCCATACGTCAAAACCTCCAACTTGCCTCCTATCTCGCTCGATATCTTCAAGGATCGAGCGAGACTCGAACTTCTTCTTTTTATTACTTTTCTTCCTCCTACATGCACCTAACACACTTTCTGTTCAGATTCACTTTCCCTTCTAACTCCAATCCTAGTCAACTAACCTTAGAACTAACTATGCCATCAGAATCGCTTTGCCTAAGAACTTCGGTGTAGTATCTTACCTCACTCGAATCCATCGAGGATCGAGTGAGATTCGAATCTTTCACTCCCATCTTCGCCAGTCCCCGCCATAACTCCGCGCGGGGCTTGTCTTCACTAACTCCTATTCTACTAACCTATTGCTAGAACTAACCTCGGAATCGCGGTCGCCTGGGGCTAAGATCCCCAAATCAAATCCCTCCTCGCCTAAATCCGATCGAAAACAGGGGAGATAAGTGTTTCTTCGTCCTTCCTTGTCTTCACTCCCGCCATCTCTTCACTTCGCCGCACTTACTTCTCTTCTAACCCTCTAATCTACTAACCTCCTAATCTAGTCACTAATACTAAAAACTAACCTCATAGTTGATTTCGCCCGGGGTGAAAACCCCAAAATCACCCCYTCCCTTACTCAAATCCATYGCGGAATGAGGGAGGCAGATGTTTTTTTTTCCTTCGTCGTTTCTTCGTCCCCCATGGCTCCGCGCAGCCATTTTTCTTCCTACCTCCTTCTATACTAACTATCTTTTCATTCTGACTACAGCGATGAACTCGCCCTATCAAAAAAACCCCAACTAACACTCTAACTCACTCGATTCCATTATGAATCGAGTGAGATCTTGATTCTTCGTTCCCACCTTTCTCTTTGCTTGCTCCCTCTATTTTTGCTCCCTCCGAATGTACCCGGCGCGACTGTGCGTCCGGATTCACTCCCTTCACTCGACTGTTTCCCTGGTCCTTCACCACCGTCCCTCTCGTTGCTTACTACTTCCTGTCCGCGGCTAGACACAACTTTCCCTCTGCTGCACCTGGTCACATCTCATCACCCTCTTATCCCTTCGATGCCCCCGCCATGTTAATTTCCCTTCATCTCTGGCTGCACCTGATTCATGCCCGCGTCCAAGTTCGTCCATTCTTCTTCACTGCCCGTTGCGCCTATCCACCCGCTGCCTCCTCCGGCCTAATAGCGCCCGCACAGCCCGTTGCCTGCTGCCTTCTCTGGCCTAACAACGCCCGCACAGCCCGTTGCTTGCTGCCTTCGCAGCGCTGCACCTAGCCCCACTGTGCTACCGCCCGACACACACCCACTGCTCCGCTTGCCCCGTAGTGGCCTGTCATGGCCAGCGCAACGCTCAATAGTGCAGCAGCCCGGTCTTAGCTCGCTCTCCTGCTTTTGCCACCCCACCGGCCTCGCCCTTTCGTCACTGCGAGGTCTGACAACACCCAAATACCGAGAGAAGCAATCGGTTGTCGGACCTCACTTGTTTATGCATATCATTCTTGTGAAGGGGTCGTGCTAAGCTTCTCTGTATCGTTCCAATTGTAACAGATGCCCCGACAGCCTACCACCTACAGCACCCTGCGGCCCTACACAGTAGCCCCGGGTAATTCAGAGATGTCGTTTTCACTCCTCTGGCTCCGTCWACTGGACTTGGACACAGGCCTGTGTCACAACAGCTCACGAGTATACCCACCGAACTAGGCTCCCGGGTCCCGCACCACCCACTCTGCCGCGCCCCAGGCAAAACGTGGCGTGGTTAAGGGTAGCGCAAACCGCCACCAACACAACCTGCAATTGCACTTCAGGCAACTCCGTGGATACAACCCACTCTACGCGACCCTATATCAACCCCGGTATCGCGTCCCGCTTTAAAAAGATGAAAGCTAAAACAAAAATGACAAGAGGTATATAAAAAAAAAAATTAATAAAAAAAACAAAACGGGAAAAGGGAGGTTCCCGTGGATCGGGCCCGCCGTCGCACCCGCCAACAAAACCGAGGGGAATAACCCTTCCGAGCCCTCAGCCCCTCAGGTTTCGCTCCACTCTGCTCCGTTGCTGTTGCGCCGACGCCCGCTGGCTTCGATCCCCGAACCTCCGTAATAGTAATCCAATGCCGTAACCTATAGGGCTAAGCCCAAGCCTGAGACCCACGTCCGCAGAATACCATACAAGACGGTGGGGCGCAGCGTTTTGGGCCAACAAAACGGTTGCGCGGCTCCCAGTGCCCGCGCCGGCTTGCTTATACCATGCCATAATTGCCCCGCGCGCCATCCTACGACATCCCGCTTACCGCACGAAATCGCGCCGTTATTGTCGATGCCGTCGTCGAGGTCGTTCTCCGCACACGCTCTCGACTCGGTCAAATGTACTAATCAAAAGAAAATATCCTTAATTCCTGCTTAATCAAAAATAAATAAATAATAATATCACTAAGCAAAACGACCGAGGTCCGGGCCGGCTTTACAATCAACAACAAAAAAGAATCAAGCGCGCCTTAAACCCTGCGCGCCCACGCACTCGCTATTCTAGTCAACCTTCCCGTCAACGTAACTCACAGACGCGGCCGCGCTTAGCGCGGTATACTTAAACTTTAAGCCAAACAATCTTCTGTTACTTGCAAAAACCAGAGCGGATACCCTTCTAAGGGTATTCGCACCGACAGCCTTACCGGACCATATTAAGCGACGTCCCCGTCGCTTCGCCAAATCTGAAAGCTATAAATCCATTCACACTCCAAATGCTGACGAAAGAAATGAGCCAATCCGATTAGCCGACAAACACAGGGTAGAGGCCTCCATCAAACCATGCCTCCACAACTATATGCTGGCAGGTTTCTAACCTGGGTCTCACACCGTCCAGAAATTAGGACACTTGCAGCATAAGTTCCAAAGACCTTCACAATCGTCCTCTCCCCGGTCTTAGACAACCTTCGGCTTCTCGTTGTGTGTCCCTAGTCCTGGCAAAACTAGGGACGCGGGCCTTAACCGAGACCTTTGAAGGCACTCTCGCCTTCTTTCTCAAAATCTTTCGCAATCAAATATATATGTAAACTTAATATTCACTCCGCTTTTTCTGCACCGCATTGTTATTTAACGGCAGTACCCTCGTTGGTTACGCAACGATAAGGTTTCTCCTGATAGGCACTCAATTAGGACCTCCCAAAATCTCTACCTTCACTATCCCACGGAGTAATTTCCCTGGGGCGGGTAACTCCCCTTAAACTCTTATCCCGTGGTCTCGCAACCAGGTTGCGCCGGTTAGCAGCCATCCAATGGGGTTACGCCCTAGAGGTACTAACTTCTTTTCCGTTAGCTTGGTCTTTCTTCAATATGTCTCAGAATTAGCACCAGTGGTTAAACGGGTGCGTCGCAAAACAAAATCACAGGCCCACTGCGCGATACGCAGAGGTCCGAAGGCATTTATCAGCCCTCCTTCAATAGGCATGGCCTCCTTCGCACGCTTACAAACAAAATCACTGCTAAATCCACCAGGCCGTGACCCCTGACTTGATCAGAGCCAGCAGCCACCCACCCTGAGACATCTCTCGCCCTGTACTCATTGCGACTTTCTCAAACATTCAAACAAAAAGTGGCCCCTTTTCGTCAGACTTTATCACCCATCGAACAACTCATCATGCCATAAATCAATTTACTCACTTCTGAGGATGAGTCTTTTAACAAAAAAACACTCCCCTTTTCCAATCTCTCACATGTGTGGTTGTACTCTGATGTATGATGAGTTTGTGTGGACAATGTGTGAAAAACCTTTTATGTATCTTGGGTAGTGTGAATATGATTGTAAGTAAAACTGTCTACTCCTCGGTATACTTGTGCGACCTGCCCACAGCAGCTGATAAGGTAGAGTATAAGGGGAGGAAGCGCAGTCCGTTTGTGAAAGTTATCTAAGTTGTGATGAAGACCCATAAGATGGTCTCTCAGTGATGTTCTGTTTTATGATGGGACCCCTTTAGATTTTGGAAAAGAGAGGGGATGTTTTGTGATGTTTTGTGATGTAACGAAACCCCTCATGATTTTGAGAGAGGAGGTGTTTTGTTTATGATGAGACCCTCGTGATTTCTGGAAGAGGGAATGTATTGTTTTATGGCGAGACCCCTCGCGATTTTTGGAAGAGGGGGTGTTTTGATTATGAAGAGAGCCCCTTGACATATAAGAATGGTCCCTGAAGGAAACCTCATCATAATATACACTTAGGGAGTACAATGTCTCACACAGAAAGTGTCTCCAAATCATAACTTGCTCAACTCAAGCCACACCAAACCGACACTGACAACTACCCTTAGAATACATGTCAGATCTGTCTCTCAAAGGCCAGGGCGTAGGCCACCTAAATATGTACATGCCTCATCTAAACCACCCTGACCCTCAAAACCCCAACTCAGTAGAAACACTAGAGTTCAAATCTAGATTAACAGTAATCATCAAAATGTCTTCTAAGTCTAAGAGAGTATCACACAGAACCTAAGTTGATGTCTCACAAAATGCCCGCTCGCTTATATAGACAAAGTCGGCCCTACCTCCTCAACTCCTCCTGGTTTTGCCTATATAACTGAGCCCTAAGTCCATCTGCGGACTCCTCTACTATCCTACCCTGTCTATCATACATTTTACCCCCTACCTCTGAGATCTTCCCTGCTGCCTTATCCTCAAGAAACTTGAGACAGTCCAAAGCCAGATGCACGTCCCTTTTGCAGTAAAAACATAGTTAATCTACCTTTCTCTTGAACTTCCTCTTCCTTGGCTGAGGAGGTGGCGATGAAGGAGATCCCACGAAGGTACTGACAACCCCCTGCTGCCCTGCTTGAGGAGCTGCGGTACTAGCGACCTCCTGCTGCCCTGCTCGAGTGTCGCCCCTGGCACTGTCGTGGGCTGCTCCTCAATCTCCTCTCGTCCATACTCAGGTGTGCCTATCCTCTGGAGTCTGCCCTTGATGGCACCCTCCTCCTCAATCCCCATCTCTCTCTCAAGAGACTCCTCTATCCTCTGCTCAGGTGAAAACAAACTCACCTCCTCCTGCATAGTATGCACCGCCTCAAGGAGCACGCCCATGGATCCCTCTGCCGAGCCTTGAGCCGGCTCACTGCTAGATGGTGGCAGCCCCTCCTCTACTGCCAAAGGTACGATCGGTCCTGCCGTCGCCACCGGCAGCGTCGCAAGCTCAGTAGGGGCTCTAAACTCGAACGCCTCTTTCTCCGCCTGTCTCTGGGCTCTCGCCTCCTCTGGCTCCAGGATAACTCTCCCCATAGGCGGCTCCTGGCGAGGCTCTGTTGCGGATGGCTGTCTTGGCAATCCCTGTCCTGGCTGCCTCTGCTTTCCCTGCCGGCTGCTCTCTGGTCTGTCCACCTTTTCCTGGGTTTGCTGCCTCAGGCTCTCAATGATAGCTGCCTGGCTGGCCACCAAAGCCCTAAATTCTTGAATTTCCACCTCCATAGCCTCCAGACGTACTCCATGGCTGGCTTCCTTCATTTTCTTCCCCGCAAGATCGCCCTCTAATAACAAGTGCCGGTCAAAAGTGGTCTTGGCCAGGAACTTGATTTTACGATCTAACCTTTCTTCTGCCTTCCTGGCCACCCCAAACCCGGCTATGACTGGCGATGAAAGTTCCTCTCCTCTCTGCTCCCAGAAGTCTCTCCACATTTCAGGAGTTTTCGGGGCCTTGGCTGGCGCGCTGGGCGGCTGACCCGGGAGTGCTCCTGCTGCCTCCGATCTCTGCCTCTCCTGCTGCTGCTCTGGGAGCTCTCCAGCTGCCTCCAACCTCTGCCTCTCCTGCCATATCTTATCTATCCGCCTGGTTCGTCTTGCCCTCTTTTCTTCGGCCGTCTCTCCAGCTGACACCCTTTCCCTCGTGCGGAGGTCGACCCTCTTTGGGATTTCTGCTTCCATCTCCTTCTCAGGCTGGCATAACTCCTGGCGTGGCTCTGCAGGTGCTGGCTCCTCCAGGTCTGGGTGCTCCAGGGCATGAGCTGCTAGGTGCCTATCAATCAGGATCAAAGTTTCTCTCCTTACAACTGCCCTCTCTCTCCTCCTTTCTGCCCTCCCTTCTGGCGAAGGAGCCTTTTCTGACGAAGGTAAAGGGGTCTCCTCTCTCTGCAACCCCTCCTTTGCCTGCCGGGTGCTCCCTGGTGCACCCCCAAGTCTCAAACCCACTGCTTGCGTCTGTGGGGGTGTGTCTTCTCCAACCTCTATCACTTCCTTCCCTGCATGTCTCCCCTCATCGCCCAGCCCCCTCTCTCGCTGAGTACCCTGAACCTCTTCTTGTGGCACCTCCTCTCGTGGTACCTCCTTTGCCTGCTCTCCATGCCCCTCACCCTGAAGCAACGCCCTCCACCGAGAAATATCTAAATGCATCTCCAATTCCCTCAAGGGCCCCTCTGACGCTGGTGGCTCCCCCTGTGTGTGTGCTGGCGACTTCCTCAATCCACCCTCAGTAAAACGATGGAACTCCACTGGCCCCAACCCACACTCAGGGTATGCCCCTCGCTCCTCATCCTCTGGCTCCTGCTCTCTCCTGGCTAAGGCCTTCCGTCCTCCTCGAGATGGTCTCGCCTCCCTGGGCTTAGGGTCCCTCGGCCTCTGACTCCTCTGCCGCCTCTCGACTCTGGGCTGAGGGAGCTCTGGTCGTCGAAAGGCTCTCAAATGTGCCCTGCAGCTTTCCCAATCTCGTGCCATGTCCCTGATCTGCATAGCCAGTGGCCTTTCCGTCTTCCTGGTCCAGAGTGGTAGTGTCTGCATCCAATCATCTCTCTGTATGCCTTGCTCTTGCATGAACCACTCAAACGCGGGGATGAAGCCCGACGCATTTCCAATCTTCAGGCGGATCGGCCTGCCATCAGGTCCCACAGGCGAGGGTCGCAACTCCTCCATCCTTATCTCCACCTCCTGCCTCGTCGTCGCCTCCCTACGAATCCTGGTAATGGGTTCTTCGAACCTACCTGCTCCCCTCAATCTCTCAATCGCCTGAGTGACTGTCCAGCCCATACGCCTCGCATGCTTCCAGAAACTGTCCAGGAATAGCTCGATGTCCCCATCATTGTAGACTGGAGTACTCTCTCGTTGGCGAGGCCCATGCCGCTCATATCCTCCTGAGGCGGCCGCGTCCCCTTCCCTCCTCTTGGCATGRCTGTCTTCGTAAAGTCAGACCTGCACAACAGGCAAAGGAGACAACAGGCACACGTTGGGGTAAGCAAGCAGGTGATAATCAGAGCAAGCTCAGACCAGACCACACTTATGCAGCATGCATCCTTCCTAACTTACACACCCTATTACTTCTTATTCTAGGGGCGGTCAGGTCATCTCTCTTACCTCTTCTCCCGGCACGAATTTCTTCAGTCGCGTTCCAAATACCCAATCCTTCCACTCAGTCTCATTTAACTCCTCGATCTGGTACGCTCCGAAGTCTCCAACCCGTGCAATTCGGTAGGGACCTAACCATCTCTTATCCAGCTTCCTAGACCACTGCTTCTCCAGCGATGTATCGTAGAGAAGCACGACATCTCCGACTGCCAAGGGTACTTTCCTCACTCGCGCAGACTGATCCCATCGGGCCTTATCATCCATATGGCTTCTCGCCACCTGATCAGATGCCTCCTGGATCCTTTCTTCTATCGCCCTGACCTGCCGCGCCCGAATATCGAGCAACTCTTCAAATGACAGGTTGACTTCCAGATCCCGGCGCCTCCACGTCTTAAGAAAGCTTTCGATAGGGAAGGTGGCATGCCTTCCGTACCACAGCGTCGCAGGTGCGTACTTGGTGGATCTCTTTACTGTAATGTTCTCGACAAAGAAAGCCGCCCTTAGGTATCTTGGCCATTGATTAGGCYTACCTTCGRTCCATTTGGCCAGGAGGTTCGTAATRGTACTRTGTCCTCTCTCTACGGGAGCATTTGCCTGGGGGTGCGCGGTCGTGGTGTAGTTGGCTGCCACACCATATCTTGCTAACAGTTCTTGCACCTCCTGGCAGGTAAACTCTGATCCCCTTTCCATTACGAATTCCCTGGCGAAAGGATAACGGAGGTAGTACTCCTCGATGCAGCTCACCAGGACTGACCCGGTCTTTGTGCGAATAGCACGCCCGTCTATGAACCCAGACAGGTTATCGCGCACATCGAAGATATAGTTATAGCCCTGATCCCCAAGTGGCATAAAAAGCAGATCGAGATGCACTACGGCCCCTACCTCTCGTTCTATCCTTGGATGCAGCGGCTCTCCCTGCCTTAAACGGGATCTCTCCTGGCAGGGTACGCAAGATCGACAGAACTTTCCGACCATGTCCATCATTCCATCCCAGTTGTACAACTCACTTATCTTGGCATACGTGGCTTGTACCCCTCGATGCCCTCCTGCAATGTCATCGTGTAGTGCTGCTACGACGTCGATCTGACGATTTCTACCGCAGACGACCCTCCTGGGATTCCCCACTTCCCTTCTCACGAAAAGGTGACTGTCTCGCACTAAGTAGCGTTGCAGCATCCTTTGAGCCCTATCGCTCGCATCTCTTAGCCGCATTTCACATGACAAAAGAAGCCCCAGCTCTAGGTAGATCCCATCGTACTCCTCTGCACGAAAAGCCTCGTTAATTTCCCCTTCTTCGAATTCGTCGTCCTTGCTCTCGGGTATTTTGTCCACATTCCCTGCCGGGTTCAACGAGTCCGACTGGTCTAGGCTTTCCTGCAATAACGTATTAACGAGGAGATACATTCCTCCCATCAGGTCCTCATGTCGTTCTACCTGGCCAGGTCCTTCCTCAATCGTCCTCATATCCTCCACCAGGCTATGCGAGCTGGCCAGCGCTAATTCCATCATTCACTGAACATCCTTACCGCCGCTGGGATCCTCTTCTTCAAAGGGCTTAAGAACTAACTCATTCCTCCTTTCATACCCCTTCGGCGCTTGCCAAATAGGATAGCCTACACAGCTAGGCACTCGCGGCGACCATTTGTTGATATGAAGACGAACATCTTCTTCCTGATCCAGAAATCCATCAACTGGGGGYGTATTCTCCTCCGCCTCCCCTTCCTGCTTATCCCAGTTGATCCGACTCAGCCCGTCCGCTCGGTTCTTACCACCAGGAATCCGTTCCAATTCGAAATTGAACATCCAGATGTACGTTAGCCATCTGGCAATCGTCGGATCCGATGGAACGTAATTCCTTAGAGAGTAGGCCAGGGCGGTCGGATCCACTCTCAAAATAAACCTCCTGCCAAAGATATAATTCCGGAAGATTCGCAGACAATGGAGGACAGCAAGGGTCTCCCTCTTGAACTGAGGGTAGTTCCTCTCCGTCGTACAGAGAGTCCGACTCTCAAATCGCAAGGGTCTTTCCTTCCCTTCCATGCCTGCCTGAATTAGAACTCCTTCTAAGGCAGTCGGTCCCGCATCCGTCTCGACAATGAAGGGTCGGGTCTCTGTGGCGTCATAATCTGGCGCTCCTAACACCAACCCTCCTTCTCGAAATTCCTCCTTCATTTTTGCTACCACCTCTTCTTGTTCCTTACCCCATACCCATTCCTGATCCTGACGGACTAACTTCCTCAGGTGTTCAGTCTTAGCGGCAAAGTTCTTGACGAAGGCCCTCCAAAATCCACACGTACCAAGGAAGCTCCTGACATAAGTTATTGAGTGGAACGGAACTGGCCACTCAGTAATCTTGTTCGTCTTCTTCACATCCGGTCTTCGGCCCTCCTCATTGCAGACTATCTCCAAGATAGTCGCTTCCCTCATGCAGTGTCTGGATTTGGCCCCACTTGCCGTGAGGTTATGCTCTTCGAGCAGGCTCAGGACCTTTTCGAGGTCCTGAATGTGCTTCCAGACAAAGCGCCTTACCCCTGGTGAGACTTCGTCGCTCTCTTTCGTCGCCGGCCCCTTCACTGCCAAATCATCAATGTATGGCTGTGTGATATGGAGAATGACTGACTGCATGGCCCGAATCATGGCTCGTTGGACCATTGCTACTGCGTTGGTCCACCCTTGTGGGGCCACATTCATGTGGACTAATCCTCGCAGTGTGTGCATAGCTGTCACCGGCCTATCCGGCGGGTAGACTGGGAACTGATCGTATCCTAAGTAAAGGTCTATAAGCGAAATTATAGTCCTTCCAACACAGGATTATGACAACGCGTCTGCATTCGGCAGTCCTCCACGCACGGTCATAGCATTCAATCTCTGCAAATCTTGCACCCACCGCAGAGTCCCGTTAGGCTTAATAAAGCAGAACTACAGGGATGCATATGGTCCACTTGAATAGTCGGTGATGTGAGTACGTATCTTGCCGTCGAGATAATCCACCACCTTCCTCTCCTCGTCAGGATTGGGATACCGCGCCCCTCTCATGTTCCAAGGCTCGTGTGGCACGGTGTGAATGCGGATCATAGGTATCTTATCTACATCCAGCCTGCCACGATGCTTCCTCTTCATTAATTCCACCATCAGCGTTCGCTCCTGAGGCAGCAGGAAATCAGACTCCCCTATGATCAACTCCTTCTCGTTCCCTTCGTTGATACGACATGGCCCTGCTAAAGCACTTTCCCTCATTTGTCGAATCAACCCTCGTTCCCTCTCGTAATATGCTTCCTCGTCCTCTGTAACAAGGACGGGTACCGGGCGTCATTTCTTATCTACCGTCTTGTACCGCCTTTGGGAACCCTGCTTGAGCCGTCCCCTAAAAAAGGCCGACTCACAGATTGTGTTTGCGCTGATGCCGGGTTCCCTCCACTGCCTGAGAGCCGATATACCAGTTCCAACCTTCCTGCCTCAGGGCATTCCAGAACTTGTTCCCTCAAGGCCTGGATGGCATCCGGATCTACCATCTCATGCGCGTCCACCAGGTCCATGGCCTTCCCAACATCTGACAGGCTGAGGAAAAATGTTTCCACCCCCTCTCCTGCTTCGGGCTCTGCCCATAGCCTCCTGCGCTCCCCTTCCGACTCCTCGATTGTGAATGATCCTGGATTGGGCCGGTTCCTTATACTTCTTGGCCCGGTGTTCCTGCAAGTAATTATTTCACGCGGATCGCATAAGAGGAGGATCAACGTCCCGTCATGTTTGTTGAACATCACGGTCTCTGTCCTGCTTAGGAATGACCTCCCCAGGAAGATTCCATGGCCCACGTCTGGCATTATGAAGAAGCATGCCCTGACCTTCACCTTTCCAACCTCGACGAGCACATTCGAGGCTGTCCCACAAAACATGGCCTTACAACTGGCTCCATGCAGAATACCGCAGTCAGAACGGTCTATATCCATCCCGAATCTGATCGCGTCCGCCTCCCGAATAATGTTCATCTCTGCCCCGGTGTCCACCATTGCTGCGCACTTGGAACCCTTCACCATTAAATCCACCGTACCACAGGCTACGCACTTCCAGTCCATCTTCATACCTGACTCTGCCCACTCTGCCTCCTTGGGCAGGATCGTACCCAGGTGGACATTGGGTACCAGGCGCCGTGATAACCTCCCCTTTAGTTCATCGAGCAGTCGCGGGGCTGACGCTAGGATTTCCTTCAGGGTCATGAGGTCATTATGCCCTTCCAGCAGCCGGTCAATCACCTTCTCTACGTCAAATTTTTCTTCCAACCGGACCGCGTATTTCTTCTTTTTGGGTGGTCCGTCCTGTATGACCGGTTCGGCCTCTCCCCTGATCCCCTTTTTCCTTGCCCGCTGCTCCGCTCTCTGATCCTCTTCTCTGCGCAGCCTCTAGTCCTCTTCCTCTTCGTCATCATCGTCCTCTACTTCCACAGCCTCCTTCCTTCTCCCTGGTTCGTGTTCCCCCCTTGGAGGCTCTTGGCTGGTACTGGCCTAAGCTTGATTCCTCGTTCGCGCTGCTTGCGCCAGCCGGGCTTGCGGAGTGAGGGGTCTCCCCCTTATCCCTGGTTGAGGGCACGACCCCACCACATTTACTCTGGGTCGCCCAGGCGCTGACTCCGGGCCAGAGTCATAGAGGAATACTGTGGGGATGTTAGACCTCCATCCTTTCACTTCTTTACAGAGACCCACCAACTTCTGTTGGTACCTCCCCATCTTATCCAGCAAGTCTTTCATCTTCTCAAATAAGAAGGACGGAGGCTCCGTTCTTTCCTCCTTCTCCTCGTCATCTGACTCGATGATCATGGCCTCTTTCGTCTCACTTCCTCCTCGTAGCCCTTGAGTCACTTCCTCATCACTTCCCACTTCTTCCACCCCAAACGGTGGTTCCTCCTTTTCCTGCCATAGCCTGAACATGGCAGGGGGCGGTGGTCCCGCTGCCGCTCTTCGTTGGGCTTCAACTCTCAGTCCTCCAAGCCTTCTGTCAATGGTCTCCCCAAATTGATCGTAGATATCCCCATCCTTAGTAGAGGAAATCAGCCCGCTTCTCTCGTCTTCCCGCCTTATATTACAGAAGCTTATAGTGTGGCCTTGCTGGTCACAATGTTGACAGATGGCCGTCCTCCAATCAAAGCGGGGTCTTCCATACCCCTGACTTCCCTGATCCCCCTGGCCTTGATACCCCTTGCCTTGATAGCCCTGACCTTGGTACCCCTGGCCCTGACTCCCTTGGCCTTGGTACCCCTGGCCTTGACTCCCTTGGCCTTGACTCCCTTGGCCTTGGTACCCCTCGCCTTGGCTCCCTTGGCCTTGGTACCCCTGGCCTTGGCCATTCCATTGCCTTCCTCTTCCGCCGCCGTTCCTGCCTCGCCCCTTTCCTCTACCCCTCCCTTCATTGCCTTGATTGCCCTGCCCCTGGTTCCCACCCCCTACAACACTGCCCTGTGAACTGGGATCAGGTGACGGTGGCGGGGCCACAGGTTGGGCCTGGGCCGCGGGGTAGATGGGTGGTGGCATACTCGTTTGCGGTCCGGCTACTGGCGTCGTACTTCCCCATGGCACAATTGCGTTGATCACTGGCTAGGGCCACTGTCCATAGGAGGGCGCCCCACCTTGCGAGGGGCCCGTATTAGATGATGGAGCCGCCACATTTAAAGGGGCTGCTGCTTGGGTTTAAGGTGCCTGCGCTTTTCCTGATCCCTGTCCGCCCTGCGCCAAATTACGCACTTTGCGCTGGACCTTCGTCAGGTGCTGCGGCACCGGCTCTTCCTCTTCCAGAGCTCCTCCTGGCCAGCCTCCTCTATCACCGGCTCTTTTCCTTTTACTTTGACAGTCGTCACCACCCTTCTTTGCACCACTGGCTCTGTCGCATACCCTAGCTGTGCCAATACTTCTGTAACAATCCTTGTTACTCCCGAGGTCCCAGAAGAGGTCGCATCTCTTTCCTTTCTCTTCTGCCTTTGTAGGCGTACCTGACGTTGTTTCACCTGGTCCAAGCACCCAACTTCTACCCCTCTGTCAATGGTGGCCCAGGTGAGCTTAGTGCTACCTCCTCCATGTCTTGTCAACTCGACAGCCTCTAATGCTGTGAGTAGCCCAAGGAAGATGGCGCACTGTGCTTCCTCCGAAATCCCATGGACCTTCCGCGCCCTCTTCTTAAATTCTTGAACAAAGGCCCCTATAGTCGTAAAATCCTCTTTGTTCATCGCTTCAAGGTCCGTGGTAGTCAACAACCCGTCTCCCTGGCGGTATTTCCTCTGCATCCCATCCTTGAACCTCTCCCAGCTACCTTGAGCCGCATCTATGACTTTCTTCACCTCCTGATGGTAGCTGTGGAGGACATACTGAAGGATGCGTTGAAACTTTACAACATCCGGYCGCCCGACCAAAGCTTGTTCCACCCGCTCTAGCCATTCTGAGACTCHCTCYCCACARAAATGGAAAGTATCGACCTTTGGGATGTTGCTCGGGTTCCTTTCATGTCGGTCGATGGCCGCRATGAGGTCATCRAGTGTCAGRCCCTTCTTGGGAACAACTAATGCGCCGCCAGTCTCAGGCATCTTGACAGCCTTCTCTTTTTAAGTTCCCTGGCAAAAGAAAACAAGTACATCCCCTTATTCAACATTATACCTTGATCGGTCTATTCTATTCGTCCTACCTATCCCTTAGTACTTACTTTACCCACCGTTAACACGATCGTCCCTCATACTTCCTCTACTTGGGTAGGTAAATTTTCTCACCTACATTTAGTCATTCATATATTCCTTCATTACCTTCTCATCACTCTTTTATGCCCTTTTCTTTTTCACTTCTCATACCCGGATGTCGTTCCACCAGGGACAACGGTAGGCTTTCCGTTATCCCCGGCAACGGCGTTACCTGTCGGGCGCATCGGTCCGGCACCGCACGGGGGCAGCGCGGGACCCTCCCGGCCGCATCACGCAGGAGTTAGTTTTCATAACCCTTCATCTCAATATACATGGAGCTTCCGCAAGCCGCTCTGGCCGGGTGCGCCAGCCATACCTCTCGCGAGCCCCTACGACAGGATAGGGCCTACGCGAGGCACGACTTACCTACCCCTTACGGGAGCTGTCACCTCCCTTCGGTGGGCGTACCCCCGTCGAGCTACCAGTCCACAGTACGAAAGCTAATCAGTTGCAATCGCAGAGGTGGACCAGCCGAGGGCGTTTCTCGTTCGCTGTAGCATAGGGGGTACGCGCGGTAATACGCCTCTATCGGACCCGCACGCGAACCGACATCTTGGGGGGGCTGAGGTCCCAAGTGCGACTCATCGCCAGTCGACTAGGACGCATCCCACACACCACGCGCACTCCACTTTACGAACACTCATACACACAAAACAACATATATACGAAACGACACAGTACCAACAACGCGACAACGCTCCTAGCCCCTCAGCAGCCGACCCATAACCTTCCAGTGCGGAAATCGGATAGGCGTCGCGCGCTGAACTTGGTATAAAACCACGCGGACGCAGGGCATACTCATATCGACTTGCAATGCAGGCGTACACCATCAGTCGCATCGATGGCGTACTATGTAGTGCCCATAATCAAGCGGTCCCTCGTGGATTCGAGTACCGCTTATGACACTCAAGTGTCAGACTTGAAGTGTCGTGAGGGCCTAACCTTTCACGACATTGCACGGCTGAAGGAAAAGTCGTGCAGCCGCCGAGGCACCTCAGACTCTCGACCTGAGTGTCACGGTAGGCAAATCAAATAGGCTCTTCGCGAGAGGAAAACCCCTCCCCTGCAGAGCCTAGGGCTTGGGATGTCCTGGACAAGGACCTCGAATCCCGGCCCAGGACCAAATGTCCAACTAAGAAAATCATCAAAAAAAACAAGAGACAGGAACAAAAGGAGAGACCTCCCCTAAGCCCCTCAGTCTCAGCTTCTGAGTAGGGCTCTAATGTGGGGCTCTTTAATCTATGCAAACATTTATCCCAAGTATACCCACGTATACATATATAAGGGTTTAGTATGTGACGATCATTGTTTTTTTTATGGTCTCACTGGGGTCTCTCACGATAATACGTATATGTGTGACCGTAGGCAACCAAATCCAGAATCTGATTCACAGCTCATACCTGCCTTCACATCAACAAACCAAATCAATAGCCCACACACTACACGGAGTCAACCCCAACCGCCTTCGACATTCATACCCCTTGCTTTAGGCATGCAAACCCCAAAACCTCCTGTCCAACTAACCTTAATTAAATACTCAGCACCTTTGTCAAATGGCCATTCAATAAAAGTCCGGGTGAAACCTTAATAAAACAACGAAATCACCAGGGCTAAAGCCTTTTAGGTTGAGTGTAGAGGGAGAGTTGAAATTGAGTCGTAGACCGATGAATCGGCAACCGACCTGTTATCAGTGATAACAGAAGGTGATCCTCAAGGGATCAAGCTGAATCTAGTCCTGAACTTAAATCAAATGATCAAGAAGACCTGCAACACACGGCAGGTCAACCCCCAAGCTACGATCATAAGTGTATGGAGAACACAACTCCATGACAC